AAATAAATAAAACTAGATATGGAAGGTGGGGCATGGTGATTCCTGCCTGTAATCCTACCCATCTAGGAAGCTGAGGTGAAAAAAAAATTTTTTTGAGACATAGTCTTACTGTATTGCCCTTGGTAGAGTACCATGGCCTCATAGTTCACAACAACCTCAAACTCTTGGGCTTAAGTGATTCTCTTGCCTCAGCCTCCCAAGTAGTTGGGCTACAGGCGCCCACCACAATGCCTGACTATTTTCTTGTTGCAGTTGAGCCCAAGCTGGGCTCAAACCCACCAGCCTCGATACATGTGAATGGCGCCATAACCACTGTGCTATGGGCGCTGAGCCAGAGGTGAAAATCTCCTCAGCTCAGTGCTTTGGCAGCACATATACTAAAACTGTAATGATACAGAGAAGATTAGCTTGGCCCCTGTGCAAGGATGACATGAAAATCTCTTGAGCTCAGAAGTTCCAGACTATTCTGAGCCAGAGCCAAGATCCCATCTATACTAAAAATAGAAAAATTAGCTGAGCTTTGTGGAAGGTGTCTATTGTCCCAACTACAGGGGAGGCTGAGGTAAGAGAATCACAGCAACCTCAGACTCTTGGGCTCAAGTGATTCTCTTGGCTCAGCCTCTCAAGTAGTTGGGACTATAGGTGCCAGTCCGAACGCCCAGCTATATTTAGAGGCAGGGTCTCTCCGGGACTTAGGTTGGTTTCAAACCAGTGAGCTCAAGCAATCCACCCACCTCCGCCTCCCAGAGTACAAAGATTATAGGTATGAGCCACCGCGTCTGGCCAGTATCAGTATTTTTTAAAGCTCCCAGGAGATTTCATGGTACAACCAAGACTGAGAACCAGTGCTCTATCTAGGCTGTTAAGAGTGCTATGATGCCATAGCTCACAGCAACCTCAAACTCGGGCTAGAGCAATTCTCTTGCCTCAGCCTCCCAAGTAGCTGGGACTATAGGCGCCCACTACAACGCCCAGCTGATTTTTGGTTGTAGTTATTGTTTGGCAGGCCTGGATTTGATTTGAACCCTCCAGCCCTGATGTATATGGCGAGTTTTTTTTTTTTTTTTTTTGAGGTAGTCTCATTCTTCGCCCTGGGTAGACTGTCACAGTGTCCATAGTTCACAGCAACATCAAACTCCTGGGCTCAAGTGATCCTCTTGTCTAAGCCTCCTGAGTAGCTGGAAACTACAGGCACCCACCACAATGCCTTGCTAATTTTTCTATTTTTAGTAGAGAAAAAGTCTTGCTCAGGCTGGTCTAGAACTCAGTTCAAGCAATCCACTTGCCTTACTCTCTGAGTGCACAGATGTGAGATGCTGTGCCTAGCTTGGGTGAGCCAGTCTTGGTTTTAGGTGTGTTAAATCTAAGAATCTGTAGTTTTAGAGATTTGGACCTTCCCTAGTCTGAGTCTGATGCATTTCAAATCTGCTTTAATGTGCTCTGAACCCTCCAGGCCAACCACTTAAAATGAACCCTTATATTTTATGCCTGTTTTTATTTGTATAATGATAATGTATAATCCTTATGTAGTAGCATGTAGCTTAGTGGGTAGGGCTCTGACCACATACACTGAGGCTGGTGGGTTCAAACCTGGACCGGGACAGCTAAAACAACAATGACAACTGCAACAACAGCAACAAATAGCTGGGCGTTTTGCCAAGCACCTGCAGTCCCAGCTACTTGGGATGCTGAGGCAAGGAGAATTGCCTGGGCCCAAGAGTTGGAGGTTGCTGTGAGCTGTGATGCCATAGCTCTCTACCCAGGGCAACAGCTTGAGATGCCTGTCTCCAAAAAAAAATAGACTATAGACTTATTTCAGATTTGATTTATAATAGCTTGCTTGTCAGCAGAGATAATTCTTTTTTTTTTTTTTGAGACAGTCTCACTACGTGGCCCTCTGTAGAGTGCGGTAGTGTCACAGCTCACAGCAACCTCAAACTTTTGGGCGTAAGCGATTCTC